AAAATGCTAATATGAGGCCGATAATATTGGTCGGCCAATATTCACCTTAACATGTTTTACTGTTGAAAGTGTTTGTCTGAATTCAGGTGCAAGGCTGTGTCAGAAAGATCTAAGACATGATCGTAAAAGAAATAGTTTTATTTAAACGTCAACAAATAAACATGTCAACACCCTTCACTCAGACATCACCAAGACTTTTGACAAGTTCAATCACTACTTTAACAAACACCTGTTCAATGACTTGCAGCAGCTTCTGATGTAACCACTAATGTGCTGCTATTCTCTGCGCCATCTTTGCCATTTTTGAAAATCTATGTGTGAAACGATAATCAAACATGAACGCTGTCATTTTCCCAAGGTGAGGGCATTATCCCTGGTAATGGACGGAGCTGCAGGCAGCGCTGTTCTGTTGAGTGACTTAACCTTGCTGTGCTGCTGACGCAGCAAGACAAAAAAAAAAAAAAAAAACCCCACCAGGAAGCTTTACAGCCCAGTGAGAATGAGGGAAAGAAACTGAGAGACGGTTTAGGGGGTGAGGGAGTTCAGACGAGGAGGAACAGGAGGATGTTAAAAAAGTAATACGTTTAAATTATGGGTTGATGGCAGTCGTCCACCAGGGGGGGTTACTGGGATTAGGCAGATGGCTGATGACAGAACGACCGACGTCACAGCTAGTTACGTGTATGTGTAAATAAAAAAAGAATCACCTGACTTCAAACACACAGACACAGACAGACATCAGTCCACAGTTGGCTGTCTGTCTTCACTGTCTGGGAGTTAGAGTGCGTCCAACCACCACAGATTAACAAGGATTTTCCCATCAGCCTCATAAATCTCTGGTTTTCAAAGTTAAAAGATTTATTTTTCATTATATTATAATTAACATTCCACTGGTTCACAGCCAATCGTGATGAAGCTGCTGCTTCATTCAGGAATGTCGTAACAGCACTACTTTGTTTGGAGAGTCATTCTGAGTCATTTTCAAACACCATCAAGTTCGGCAGCGACTTCCAGTGTGACTGTGTAACATCGAGTACTGAAGTGAGAAGCGACATGGGGCTTACGTTAGAACCTGGCTTCATCAGCCACAGTGATGCAGCAGTTATTGGACAGGATGCTGCAGATGCAGAGGCAGTGCTCAGAGATTGGTTCCCAGAATCCCGTTCCCACATTAATAATTAATTCAGTGTTAAAAATAAAGAAGATACTTGAGGGAGGCACAATAGCAAAGGATGTTGGCCTTATTCACAACCTAATATGAATTATATTGTGAAGAGTTTCAGGGAGTCATGGAAAACGACTGAGCATCAGCCCTGATGGCAACATTCCCAAAGGGAATATAGAAACCGTTCCAGACTGTTCTCAGCAAAGGTTCCAAAACCCTAACTCTGTGGCCCGTAGGATCTGCATGAATGAAAATTAAGGGCTCTCAAAATGATTAAAGATCTTAATGTGATCATTTACATGGAGGCTGTTAGTCATTAGATAAATCAGTATTCCTAAATCTGACATTTTTCTTTTTTTTCTGTAGAGAAGTAGTACAAAAATATGCTAAAGTATGGCTCAAAGTTTATAGAAGTAGAAGAAAGTAGTAGAAAAATATGCTAAAGTATGGCTCAAAGTTTAGCTTCGTGGAGTTGAAGGGCCTTGGTCGTAACACGTCATTAAATCTTCACAGTGTCTCGTAGAATGTGTAAAGTTTCTTCCAAAACTTCAGGGAAGCCGTTTTCATCAATATCACTCTGTCTACAGGCCATTTGACTGTCAGTGTCAGTCTGCTCCTCAGCCACAGACTGATTTACTGTCCTACACTCTGTGTGTACATGACAGCATCAATATTGACTGTGTACTAGAGCAACAAGAACTGGAAGGACACTGAGTCAGGTTCATAAATTACTTTTGTCAATGAACAAAAAATTGCCTGCCCTAGTAAAAATATATATTTGTTTTTTTGTAGAAGAATGACCGGACTAATCTGATCATCTACAAAAGTATGAATAATGTCCGTCTTACTGCAAGTGACCTACATGCTCAAAAACTTTGACCACTGTCAGGTGGGTTGGGCCAGTGCAAACCAGCATAATTACCTGTGAGTAACAGTAGGTCCATGTATTTCTTTGTTCTTCCATTCAAACAAGTACAAGTATATCAGAAAATATTCTTAAGTAATGAGGTATTATTTTACAAAACAGCATGAACTTGAAGTGTGCATTATTTTTTTTTTTACTTTCAAAACTCATCAAGCGGGCCACATTTAACCCTCAGGTGGGCCAGTTTCGGCCCGAGGGCCTTACATTTGACACCCTTGGAATAGACATTTTGACTACCTTCACACCAGAATAAAAAATTCTGATCATCATTCTACCGCAGAACATTGGCCAAAACGTCAGCAGAACCCTCACTAACACACGGTTGTCCCACTACTTAGTGACTGGTCTCAAACTCACCACCCATCAAGGGATCAGCGTCAGTAAATCCATTACTAAAAATACTTACCAATCCGCTGGGATTACTACACTCAGCGAGTGGACATTGTGTGGGGCTCAAATCTGGAATTAGGCAGTAAAAGGCTGTCAATGGCTCATCAACTGGTGGACCACGGACGAGTCCTGTCCCTGTGGAGGCCACGCTGCACACTTCAGGTTCAGGTGGAGGAAAACGGTATGTGTTTGAAGGCCAATAGATCAAACCAGAATAACCGGAAAAAAACCCTAAAACCGGTACGCTAGGCTGTTCAATCCAACCCACCTGATGTATTTTAAAAGTGAAAAAAAAAATACACAAACCTTTGATTATATAATAGGTCACACATATACTGTACCAATATAAGATCAAAGGCAACCTGGGCCTAGCAGTTGAGGGAACTTGATTAGAGGGTTGTGGGGTTGCATCCCGGTCAGGTTAAGTGGCTAGCTGGCTAGCTTGTGGTCTGTTGTATGAGCAACAAGTAATTTTCCGTATGAGAGCGCCTTCCTGTGAAGTGTTGCTCACTGCTGAGTCATGGCTGGGATACATTCTTTCCCATGTGTATTTTTGTACTTAGCCTCAGGTAGGCAGTCAGACAGCACTTCATATGCAAAATATATGTATATTTGACTTTTATTTACGTACATGGATTTACTGTGAATGCCAGGATAATGTGTGTGGAGCAACAATGTTGCCACTCTGTAGGATCGTCTATACGTTGGATGACTTGCAGAAAGTGAAGAAAGACAAAAGTGGCCATTGTAACACAACGCTGCCTTTCTGTAGCTGGAGAATGCTATTTGTGGCTGAAGAAATGGCTGGCAGTGCGGGGTTATGTTATGTTTCATGTCCAGATAAGGTATTGACTGTAAGCAGAGATGACTGGATGAAATCTTAGAGACGCACTGCAATATCAGCAGAGCCAATGAGACCATCAGAAGAAACACAAAATACTCTATAGTATACTGTAAGAAAGAATAAAGAAGTTAGGGTTAGACCCAAATCAGATGTGATTAGAATTGTTCAAGCTTAAACAAAGGGTTACCTGACCTTTGACCTGTGTATGTTTATGAACCACACTGTGAATCCTGGGTTATTTTCTCCTACATGTATTCATGGATCATCTGGATTTACACTTTCCATCAGAATTATTTCACTTCCTGATTCCTACAAACTACTTCCTGCCTTGTTTATTACTGTATGTAACTGCAGTTCTATGAGCCTAGTGATGGGGTAACAGGCAATACAATACACAACACCCCATACATACAAAAAATACCAAAAATTAGCAAAGTATTTTTTTACTGATGCTAAAAAAAACATACATTTAAATTTGCAGTTGAAGAAAAATAACATTTTAATCCAAATTGATTGACTTTTGTTGGTTGTTTGTGTCACTTATAGTTGTACTAATGTACTTTGTGTAACTAGATTAATAAATATTAATCTTAAGCAATCTCACTAATATTCCTCAAATGTAAACAACACTGTGTATGTGCCAATAATGTTGACCTCTATCACGTCATTCTTACAAATCAAGACAGTTAACCTACTCTGGCACAACAGCATTAAAATATTGAAATTGAAATTCACTTGCTTCATTGCAGATTTCCTGTGTCTTTCTCACCTTTCCTTATATTATTCTATTCTCACCGTTTCACAGCGTTCTCACTTTATGTTGGATCACTCAGAAATGTGTGATATCCGCAATATGTTCTGTTTCCTGTCGTGCGAACAGAAGTATTTAAATTTGATCACACCGACATTACAGTCTGTTTCACCATGTTATCGTGAAGCATCACATCTTAGCAGGAAGTCGACCTGTTGAAAGAGACTCTCAACGCGTTCTACAATCCTCCGTCAACGTGCACAGCAACAACAGTTATGCTTTGCATATTTTTATTGATTTTTTCCATATTAATAATTTGTCATTTAATCATTTCTATCAGTCATGAATAAAAACATTTTTTAGTTTTATATGGACATGGTACAGTAAAAATACGTTTTTGTCATATTTAGGGCTATTGATTAATCATGATTAATCGTGATTGAGCCACAGATACTCGTTAAAGATTCTAACAATTTGTCATCAAAGTGAGAGTAATTCCCGTATATTTTCTTATTATCATTATATCTCATCTCCCGTCTGTCATGTGTTAAACTGGTTACTGAGGAGGGTGGAGAGGGTGGAGGGGATGGAGGGGGTGGAATTATGTAAATAAGGCGCAGGAGCATGTGCCAGTTCCAGCACAGTGCCGTGAGAAGTCAGACTACAGGCACAAAGGCTTTGGAGCGCCAGAAGCCGGGGCCGTCGGTAGATGGCGGTAACCCAAGAAACCTGATCCAGCGGCTTCTCGGGCGCTCTGTCTCAGTTTGCAGCACTCGCACTGACGGCAGAGGAGCCGAACACTTTGAAGGACACCAAAAGAAACAGGAGAGCTCACGGCGCGTCCTCTCGAGTTTTACGCGCAGCCCTGCCGAGCAGGAGACGGAACGCTTTTGTCTCAAAGAGAAACGGGACAAGTGAAGACACCATGGAAGACAAATCCAGTTCGTTCTCCAGCAACAAGGAGGAGAAGGCGGATGGGAATAATGTTTTTCAGAGGCAAGACTCCATACAGATAAATAACACGGGGAGTCAGAACATGAAGGAACACAGCAACTCAGTGAGCTTCAAGGGGGAGCGGGAAGAGGCCATGGTCGGTTTTGACGATCTGGAGGGGGCGGCCAGGCAACATGGTTTTATGCAGAGGCAATTTGGGGCCATGATGCAGCCCGGAGTCAATAAGTTCTCCTTGCGTATGTTCGGCAGTCAAAAAGCCGTGGAGAAAGAACAGGAGCGGGTGCAAACGGCCGGATACTGGATCATTCATCCATATAGCGATTTTAGGTAAGGGTTGGAAAAGACTGCCGCTCCACTCCTCCTTCCCCGCACCCACCCCTCCCGCCACCTCGGGGTTCATACACTTTCACACACACACACGCCACTCTGCAAATCGGCACACGCACGCACGCACGCACGCACAGCCTTCTCCGTACGCGCACACGCTAATGCGCTCCTGTGTTTAGGCAATCAGGTTTGCGCAGGATGAGCGTTTCCCCTGATCTAATGTGCTCGGTGACTCTCTCTCTCTCTCTCTTTCTCTCTCTCTGTATTGATGCGTCTACGCGTGTCTGTGTGTGTATCTGTGTGTGTGTGTGTGTGTGTCATTGCGGACTTTCTGTATTATAACAGAGTGAGACGCTTAAAAGGCTACAAAGGTGTGTGAGAGAGACGTCCTTGGAAAAGGGATGGTGAATGTCACGCTGAGGAAACGCACACACACACACACACACACACACACACACGCAGCCAATTCCGATGGCAACACCGTTCCGGGTTGTCATTGCGTCATATTGCGCTCGTGTGTGAGGTGACAGCACCTGGACACTGCACCATCAGCCACTTGGAAACATTTGATCCCGTAGGCCGCTGTATGGACTGCGGTGAAGGAGCAGCAGAAAATACAGGACTGACCGCACGTCCAGAGAATGTCATTAAAGTCATCTCCGCGGTTTGTACTTGTAGACAGATGACAGGTCCGAAGTTTGTGTGTGTGGATGTGTTTTTGAAGCAGTTCTTCGGAGGGAATGTGATGGAATGTGTTTCTTTTTAAATTAGCTGCAAACTGATCACGTCACACTTCCTCTGCTGGCGTCACCACAGCGCCAGAGTGACATAACTGCTTTCCTGTCCTAGCCCATGCCCCCGCCGCCCAGCAGCACCCCCCAACACACATCCACTTCCCCAACATGGCTGTACTGGTAGGACAGACAGACAGACAGACAGACAGACAGACAGACAGACAGACAGACAGACAGGCAGAGATAAAGCCTGATGTTTCCTGCCCACTGCGTTTAAATGGTAAACAAACAGGACCAGGTGGAGGCAGAGCTGGTTCTCCACAAGCTCCGTGTTTACACCTCACCAATTAGGTGTCTCATCGGGGCCATGTGTCCCCTGACACAGCACATCGGTGACAGTCATCTCCATTTTTCCACTGGAGCATGTTGTGTGTGTGTGTGTGTGTTCTGGCTGCCTCCTGTTTTGGAGCTGTCCATGGTGCTGAAGCCTGATGGAAGGTTCAGCGTCACAAACTACACTCCTTCTGCTGACTACTGTTACTGAATCAATATATGAACGGAATCTAATTTTCTCCAGCGTATCTTTAATTTATTTGTGCAAATTAACAATTGGAATTTTTTTTAAAGAAAAAAAAAGGCTTTACAAAATAATGTGACCCTTCAATGATCCATCATACAGTGGGCTTTGCCTCTGCACTGTCATGTAATCTCACAAAAGACTAAAGCATATGCACATGCCCATGTGCACACACAGATGTAAAATGATCGTGGGTGAGGATTAGTCACATAATACAACAATGAGATAACCAGTCTCTGAATACAGTTACATAAATAGACTGTTCCCCTTAAATCATGCTGAAATGACAGGTCAAAAACAGTTAATTATCAAATGGTCATTAATTAGTTGTGAAGGACAAGTCATATGGAGTGCAAAAAAAAAGGTAAAAATGGAGTAAATAGCAGTTTACCAACGCCATTGATATGGACAGAATAGAAAAAATCCAAAATTGTAAAAAATGGAAACCAAAAAGCAGATAAATTAGATAATTATCCATATTCCTCTGTGAATTTCTGTTAATCTCCTGCAGCTGTTTCATTGTCACCATGACATTTTGCAACAGAAAGAAAACTATGGTTGTTAATAATTTGAAACAGCCAGAGGGATTGTGACACTCGCTGATGTTTTTCCTCCTTGTTTAATGCAAAAAAAAAAATAAATTGAAAGTCGACCCTGCTGGCTGAATTCTAGTCAGCATCACGGCTGGAATTGTTCTAGAAGGTGATATTTGGGGAAGAATAATGAGAAGTGACGGCTGATGCCACTTGAGGACATATGTGTACAGTACAGTATGTCTTACAGAATATGAGTATGTGAAATAGGAGACGATCTGGGTCATCATATAGAGGATTCTCGTCATTTAATCTCTGCTCAAGGAGAATGACTCTTTATTTTTGCTGTATTTGAGAAGAGTTTAGGTAGGCAGGCAAACGCCCCCTAATGTTTTTTCTAATATTAAAATGTCCAGAGCCTCTTGTTCTGGGTGAATTTCCAAGTTTTGTCTGTGAATAAAAGTAAATTCCAGTTTAAAAATGTCACGTTGTTGATGTAATTCCACATTATTTATGACCTGTTACAGCCTGTAACCTGTGCAGGTGTCTGAAGAGGTCATTTCTTTTTCAGTCCAATTGACTGAACACCTTTAAACTTAAAAAAAAAAAAGTTTTATACAGGAGCATGCGAAAGGTGCATTTCTAGTTCCATAATTGTATTAAATATTCAGCGATTCAGTTTATTTATAAAAATCCTCGGACACAATATTTATGAGCACGACGTGACACAAAAGCACACTATGTTATATTAGTCTTACATTTGTACGTTTCATGAATGACACCACTATCTACACTGGCTTTGTATTGCTTTGTGGGAGTGTTTGAAATTCAATATCCAACATATTCTTTGTACACAGTTGCTGCTTAAAGATTAATGGCAGGTTAGTAATATTCATTATTTATAGATTTTAGAGAGGCCTTGTGCATGGCCCCGTGCCCTTCTGGTTGTGCTGAGGGGGAGACCTTTGTTCCCCCATAAAAGACTGTCAAGGATGTTATCTTCCAGAGACAGTGCCAAAAAAACCATCTTTAAAGATGATATGCCTGATGTCATCGGACACTTTTTTTTTTTTTTTGCTGAGCCTTAGAGGTCAACTGTAGAGGGAGAATGTCATTAATGTATATGTGGCTCATGAAACCTTACTGTTATAATACAATAATAATAAATGTTTTTGGCAGTTTTCATACGGAACAACACAACAAAAAAGTCTGCTATTGCTAAAACTACAATATGTGGCTTCAGTTGCATAATATACCCATTACAGGACAGAGTAACTAGGCTTGGCTGTGCTGAGGAAGATCATGTGGGGTTCCCTTGGTTGCTTGGCAGGATCGGCCTGGCATTGATTGCGCTGAGGCCTGGTAATGAGAAAAAGAATACAAGAGGCTGTTTGATTGGCAGAAGGATCCTTGGATTTGCACCAGAGGAATATGAGTCATTAAAATGAAAAATAAAAAAATAATAACGGGGGATATAAAGGGAAGTCAAATTAAAACAAATCGTTTTATTTGAAAACAACAACCATTTAAGTCTAAACTCGTCTGCTAGCTGCTGCAACGTTATCTGACCTGGAACATTTTGACGTACCCTTGTACTTGAGAGATTCATAAAATAACATGACGGATATAAGAAAAATCATTGTATTCAGTTAATAATATAGGAATAATGTATGTGTTTAGCTGTAGTTATTTTCAGTATCAGTCATTTTTGACTGACAATTAATATGGTACATTTTTTAAATCTGTGGTATAGATAATCACGTTTTTATTGGTGTAAAGACCAAAAGATCATCTCCTTCACATTTTGTTGCCTTTATTTTTATTGGTGTAAAGACCAATCATCTCCTTCACATTTTGTTGCCTTTCGTGTCGTGTTTTGCTCCTCTGGTGGGTATATCCTCTAAAAGCCCGTTGATGTATCGCAGTGACCTCCTCATTGTTTCTCAGTTGGTATCATATATTAGCTGCAGGAACTTGCTGTGTCGCTGCAGGGACACGGAGTGTTTGAAAACAATGATCCAGTGATCACATATTCCATGTTCATCAATCAGAGCAGCCGTCTGTGTTTCACAATGAAAATATGTTGAAATATCAGCAGTGGAATGTAAACCTCAGCTTAATTAGGATGAGGTAACTGTCGGCTCATCAGGTGAAAGTGGAGGAATCTGTTAAATGTAAACAAGGAGTTTAAATCCTGACTGTGATTGTTAACTGACAGAACCAACTTCACTGCACTGACTCAGGGCTTTACCGGCGGCTTGATGGATTCTGGCGATTTGAGAGCTGAGGCGAGAGCCTAATGCAGTGTATCAGGATACGGCATCCGAGCTGACGTCAGAACTCGGGCTTCTTCACTGAGAATACCTCAGATGTTTCTTAACAGCGTGGAGCGTCATTCATCCTTCACCGATCTGAGCCACCGTCATGTTCTCTGTGGCATTTAAAAGTTCTCCACAATCTCAGGTTGCTTCTGATTTCCAAATCAAACAGTGGAACATGTTTTATTTATCAGATAAGTGGGAGTCTTAAAGGTCATGAACAGCATCCCACCTACATACAGTATGTCAGGAGGAAAGTAGAAATAAACATGTGGGTGCTCCGAAGATTCTCACGGTTCTACATGCAGCTTTTAATTAGATACATTATGTGGGAGAGAGAAAAAGAACACGGAGATGCCATTACCTGATACTGAAGTTTAAATATAAAGAGATTTTTATTTCTGACGACAGACTTTATCTGCAAAATTTTAATTGAATCCTTCAAACTGTTTTATTTGGCTTTTAGAAAATAAATGCTGTATTTATGAGCAGGGGTGCTAACAGCTGTGGCAGAAGTTTTTATTCTGTTTTTTTTTATTTTTTTCCCCAGCCTGTCACTTGTGATAATAAGATTGTAAGTAGTACAGCTGGGATGGGTCGGCAGGATTAGCCTAGCGTTAGCCTCCACTCCTGGAGAATCCTGACTTTCGTAGGAATAATATTGTTCCATATAAATAATATTATTGGAGTCAACAATGTGAGAGGTAACCAAATGTCATGTATCGCAAAATCTTGCAAATAAGGTTTTGCAACAATGACGTTGGAGGTGTACAGCGCCGCACCTCCACTCTGCTCTGTAGTTGACTTTCAGGCCAATACTGACTCAGTCATGCTTTAAATCCAGCTTCCAATCAGTGCTTTTTAAACATTTAGTATTGGATTTGTTGTTGTTTGTTGTTATTTATCATAATAATTTATAGAAAACTGTATTATAAATATATTCATACTGCCCCCTGCAGGTGAGGGAGGATTGTTTTTTATCACAAACAGTCTGTTAAAGTTAGTCAAACCATTTTAAACATCTGTTGTTTTCCTTTTTTCATTTGCTCCAGATTCAAACCCCTTTTTTTCATTGTTACTGCAAACAGACGATGATGACGTCACTGCAGCCTCGTATTAAACATTTAAAAATATGTATCAATAATGAATAATTCATGCCATGCATCCACTGTCTGTACGTCATGTGGCCCAGCAGCTGAACTGACAAAGACGGACTTGAATGTTGACAGTGGTGTCTGTACAGTCTGTTTCCAACATTAGCTCCACGGTCTTTACGGTCTGTGCTCGACATCACACTCAAGGTGTAAAGTTTGTTTTTTCTTCTTAACGTCAGTGTAAAAATATCACACCTAAAATAGAATTATCAACAACCAGCAAGGCTGTTGTTTAGCTGCAGCAAAGACACTTTTCTGAAACATGAGCTGTGTGTATTTTTAAAGCCAAGGCCTTGCTTTATTCATTTAGTCCATTACTAAGTGGATGGCCTGCCAGAAAGGCAGCCTGCCAACCAGCCGGCCGCTCTGTTTCTATTGTCAAAGATCAGCAGTGGATGGACAGCAGCAGGGCTGGTGTCAGTGTTGGGTATTTAACATGATAGAATTCCGGTGAGACATAATTCTGGACGTGGTTGCAGCCGCTGAATGGTCCCAGGAAAGAGAGTCGACTCAGATGAAAGTTTAATAACAATGAAAGGATGTGTCTGGTCACAACAGCTTCATAAAACCTCACTGTCTCTGTGGGGTTGAGTTGTACGGCATTCTCCGCTACAGAACTGTACAGTGTCTCATGTACAGTACAGAGAATTCCGGCTGAAACACCATTCAGTAAACTGACAACGTAAACACACTCCTGCTGCAGTACCGGCTATATGACAAAAGGAAAGTCTAATGGAAAACTGTTTAAAGACATTAGGGATATTCTTATATATATATTGTTTCACGTTTGGATTGACTCGTTTCTTTAGATAGAAAATAACAGGAATGGACATCTGACACTTCCTCCTTGTGTTAGGTACAGCTTGAAACCACTGTTCCATCAGTTCAGTGAGCTGGTTGTTATAGGTGACCAAAACAAAAACAAACAAATGTCTCCTCTGCGGCTCAGCTAAACAAGGCAAACTGACATTTAACTGAAAGAAAAATCAAGAAAACCAAAGCACGGCTTCATCGCTGTGGTTTTACGTGAAACCCCTTCAAACTCCACCTTTGACCTCTAACATTTCCACTCGTTTCTCATTTATCCCAACGTGCTTTCTCATCACCTTTTCTATGGTGTTCTCCACAGGTTCTACTGGGACTTGATAATGCTCATCATGATGATGGGAAATCTAATTATCATTCCTGTGGGAATAACCTTCTTCTCAGAGGAGACCACCACGACCTGGTTGATTTTCAACGTGGCCTCGGACACAATCTTCTTGGTGGACCTGGTCATGAACTTCAGGACGGGGATCGTGAACGAGGAGAGCTCCGAGATCATCCTCGACCCCAAGGTCATCAAGATGAATTACCTTAAGAGTTGGTTCGCCGTGGACTTCCTGTCCTCCATTCCAGTGGATTATATCTTTTTGATAGTGGAGAAAGGCTTTGACTCTGAAGTGTATAAAACAGCCCGGGCCCTGCGAATCGTTCGCTTCACCAAGATTCTCAGTCTCCTGCGTCTGCTGAGACTGTCCCGGCTCATCAGATACATACATCAGTGGGAGGAGGTGAGTGTCCTGTACCGCTACCTAGAATATACCATAATGATATACCATTATTCTAGCCCGTACTGAGGCCTCTTCCCAGCAGCCTGGAAACAACCTTGAAAGGTTAATGCACAGATAGGCGGTAATTGTGCCTGTAGAAAACTAATAGGTGCTGTCAGTTGGATTCTGGTCAGATGGTTTATCTGTGGATAATAAGGGGCATCCTGATCAGTCGCAGCTCACTGGTGGGTGAAATGTATTTACTGCTGCAGTCTGTCCTTCATTTGGAAGCACAACGGCCATTTCCTTGTTCTTATTTCTGAAATAATTTGGATGTATATGTTACCTGAACAAAAGTGTTTCTTTGAACATTTTGTTGCTGGATCTTTGAGACAGTACTATGGTTGGTATTTTTGTGAGTATCTCTCAAGGTATTACCACTGTGGATATTGTGATATTGTGAATATTGATTTTACATGTAACGCGAACTAAAGCACACACAACACAACACCTGGTGTGTGTGTTTGGATTACAGAAATACAAAACATTTTTAAAGACTTCTGTTTAGTGCAAATGAAAAATCACAAATTTGATCAGCGGCAGCTTGAGGATAAAATATTTAAATGAGAAATTCCCTTTGTTATTTTATTTGTCCATTAAACATGTGTACTGGTATATTCATCTGCAGGATGTCACCATTTGCCCAATATATTTACAGTCTACAGTTTTACGTTTTCAATTGCAGAAATAATGTAATATTTACATAATATGTGGGATATTGATCAGTGTGAGTGAATATGAAATCAAGATGAATCCCACCTGCTCTGTAGACCACACATGCTGAGCATTATAGCACCCTTGGAGGGCAGCGCCCCCCGAGTTAGTCCTCCTGTAACTACAGTATTGTCTGTCAAGGTTTGCGTTATATCCTGTGTGGAAACACTGGTCTTCAATTTTACGTGTAAAGGTTTTATATTAACATTTTACATCACATTGATTTCTTCCTCCTCCAGGAAGAGTGTTCTCTGTGTTTGGATAAAATGAAACCTTAAAAACATGAATAATCTTTAGCCAACGAGGCTAAATCTTTAATAGTATTTGTGCCTATATATTCATGCATGCATGCATGAGCAAACACACACGCTCACACACATAAACCATATTTTGTAAGTAAATACCACATGGATTACAGCAGCTCGGTGTGTCTTCATGCTGGCATGCACACTATGTGGGAAGTTGATTATGAAATTCAGATAGGGCAGTGCAGATAACAGCGCAGGGCTGTGTGCAGTGGGAGGATGAGATGGTATGGACTGGGTTGGAAACACAAATAGTCAGTGCCGCAAGGTTAATGAAAATCTGCAGTGAACATGCAGGGAGGCAGCGCGGTGTATAAGGATGTGTCACAGCGCTCACAGCCCTGCCCTCTCACGAACTGTCTTCTTTGTCTCTCAGCTTGTCATCCTCGCTCGTCTTTCGATCTCTCATCTCCTCCTCTTTCAAACGATTTTTTTTTTTTTTTTTTTTTTTACCAGTCTCACGTGTACGGACTTCTCTATTAACACACTGGATGTTGTTGTCCCTAATTTAAGTACATTTAAATGCATAGATGGCATAGAAACCATGAAGATGTAACCACTTCAGACCCAACACACCCATGAATAATAAAACTGTCAATCAAACATTGTTCATTCGATGTAACCACTTCAGACCCAACGCACCCATGAATAATAAAACTGTCAATCACACACGTCCACACGAGATGTGTGAGGAGATACAGGGCGAGCGCTTGGAAAAATCCTCCGCTGTCATAACATGTTAGGTGTAGGACTGGGGATTAGAGCTTTAATGGAAGGACAAACCCAGTTCTCTGCTGTTATAATTGACCCAAGGAGTGAAGCGTCATTGCATCAGCCTTGGGATAGACTCGCGTCAGTACTTCACTCAATTTCCTCACTAAGTCGTCACCCAGCCTCCATATCCCTCAGCTGTCGTTTTCTCACATTTTTTTTCCTCCTTCTATTTGTGGACTGAGAATTCAAGCAATCAAGAGCCGAAGTCAGATTTCCCAAGGATCAAATATTATTGCTTTGCAGACAAATATTTTGGACAGCTAAGACATATTTACACGTGTGAAAACGGGAACCTTGTTCTTCTTTGTTCCAACGAGCTGCTGGAGAACGTCAGTTATTCTGTGTTCTCTCAGTGTCTTTCACACTAAAAGTGTCAACTAACTCCATTGACGAATTCAGGTTTTTTTTTACAGTAAATAGTTCTAAAAGAAACACAGTTCTTTAAGGCTATACAAGCTAACACAGAGTACTACTGTACACTGTTAATAATATAAAGAAAAATTGCCCAGTTTTTTTGAGAGCTAATGATATCAGGGTAAAGAGGTTCTAATGTGAGGTATAATTGAGAAAAGGTATTCGGGATATCTAGGTTTGGTTAATGTAGAGTACTTAGTACAACTGAACACATCAGAACAGACTCATAAAATGGTCAAGATGGCTGCCGCTAGCATTAAAAGCTAGTGTGTGCTGCTAATGGTACGTGTTTAAACCAGTTTTGGTTTTGTTTCATATTTGGTTGGTCATAAACAATCTTTATGTTTTCATCTTTCATGTGCAGTACTACAGAGAGTGATGTTTCTGCATTGCTAACATCAGCTAGCTAAACATTAGCATGTCTATACTATAGATGATGTTTTTTGTGGTTTTATAAAGTCATGTTCTCTAAATTTTGGTGTGGTGTTCATATTGTCTGGGGATCAGATTTCTTTCTCCTAACTCCTTTTACCCCCCTGCAGAAAAAAAACAGCCCTTTTACATTGGTTGGTATCAGTTATAGAAACCCCATGGGAAATTATTAAGAACTGAACATTCAACATCTTGGTGAAATAATGAGAACAGACATTGAGGGCATGTTTTTCTCCTTCACTCTGAATTTTTTTAGTTTTAACATCTTTCAAGGATGTTTTTGTTTTCATAAAGAGCTAATGATCTAAACATCCACCCAAACTCACACTTTTGTAGCCAAACATGTCCCACAGTCCAAGAGCAGCTTTCGATCCAGTTTGTGTTTACTGCTTTAATGAATAAATAACAAACGGGTTAACATTTGAAATCCTCTAAGCTCCCAGAGCAGCATCTGGCTCATTTCTGTCACCAGCCCTCTCGCCAGATCACAAACCAGGCACAAGGGCTCAGGTCGAGCTTGTTTTTGGATACCAGTCCCCAGGGCTGGATCCACACTTTCCAACGCCCGAGGCAGAGTCTGTCTTCTCACTAGGATATTGATTAAAAACACATCAGAAACAAATCAGTCAACATGGTCGTTATGACATGCTGCTTGTCAACATACTGAATTATACATCTCATCAAAAAGACCACAAAAAACTCCTTGTCCTTGTGTTAGGGGTTGTTGCTTTATGTTGTTTTCAGTACACCAGAAAAGTGATGGTTTCTTTTTAATAACACCAGAACAGTGATGGTTTCTTTTTAATAAAATGCAGAAACAAAACTCTCATGAGCCATTTATTGGTCTCAGTGATGCTCATGCTCATTTACAATGATTCGCTACAACAACCTTTTAGTTTAAGGTGAATTAATTCATTTTAATTGAAAGCACATTTTTGTTCTTAATTCACCAAATCTGGAGCCGTGACATGTCTCACAGAGTCACCTGTCAGTTCTCCTTTGATGCCGTGATGATGCTGGCTTATATCTCAGCGCTGTTATTTAATATAGAAACACAGTGGTGAGTCAGCTGATCTTTTCTGACCTTGCTCTCCTGTTGTTTGTTCATATTCCTTTGAATAAGTGCTGAGTCATGGCAACTCACCCCTGAAGTACCTGAGTGGTAGTTTTCTTTTTCTTCTCTCCTTCAATTTCAATTTCCTTTTGATATTTCTGGAAGGATGCTCCTGCTGATGAAACTTCCCGGGCCTCGTGTCATCACCACAGTTGGCCCAACATGCAGTTTTTCATTCACATGCACAATTTTCTTTATTCTTTTCTTCATTCTTTGTGAATCAGTGATTTTTTTTTTCTTTTTAACCTGGCGTGCAATAAGAACTTGATTCATATTTTATAGGAAAATAATTCAATGTGCGTGATGCACTTAGTGCCTGCTATGGAAGCTTTTCTGGCTATTATGTGTGCCTCCCTCTTTCTGCGTCAGAATCACACAGAAGAGTTGAAATGCAGATGTCGAAACTATTTCTGTAAAAAAACAAACAAACGTCTGTTACATCCTCTGTACGTAGGTTTACTACAATCTAATTTTCAGCATTTCACATTTCATATTCATGGACTTTGAGAGATCCTGTCGTTTGTTTTGTTTTTATTTACCTTTGGTGTGCTGTTTCTGCTGCTGCCAGCCACAGCTCAGCACGATGCAAGTGATCTGTTTAATTAGAGTGTCTGTGGGCCTAAGCTAAGGTGCACGCTTGATTCACAGCTCAGCCGGTAAATTGATCTGAACAGGGAAAATGTGAGCCAACTGACCTGGGTATCTAGTTCACTACGTGGGAACAGTAGAAGAGTCTTTAACTACGTTACACAGGCTAAATGTGGCGTCCACTGAAATAACCTAGACTACTGTGTGGGGCTTACAGCAGAGCGGCCCACGCCGTTCTTTCCCCTCCGCTAGTATTTATTTTATACTGTAGTACATTAGGAAGGTATTACTGTACATGTTGTCCTTTATGCCTACGCTGCAGAGACAGAATTACTACCACATGAAACACAAGGCCCTGTGTATTATCTTTTAAAAAGATCAAAGTTCATTCAAATGGAATTTCCTGCAAGGTTGTACATGTTGTTCATTGAGTATTTAAGTATCATTTTTTTTTATCTTTCACCTGATGAATAAAGTTAGTCCCACTCACTGACACCTGAGTTTGTTATACAAAAGCAAATTAAGAAATAACAGGTTTGAGTATAAGGTCTTATAACAGGTCTTTGCAACTAAAGCTGGAGAAAACACTTCATGTAAATGCTAAGGGTGGAAACAGCTGC